ATACCGTCACACCCTGCGACACGCTCCAAATTTGAAATTTAAATTTGGTACCTCTCACGGGACCACGTTGTACACCAGTTACGCACACATATATACATATACACACGCACAGCGACACGCATACGATAGAAGGATCCATGCATGTTCACGAATGCGTATACAGGTTGCTTCAAAATATAATCTTAATATTTCTTACTGAAAATGTTGTCTAATTAAATGGTTTAACATTGAAAATTTAGGGATCAATAAAAAGAAAACAAATAGAAATATAAAATTTGATGCTTTATTTAACTAAAAATTTGTTTTAATAAAATATATATTTTAATAGAATAGTTTTCATTTAATAGAATTTTTGACAAACAACATATATTTCACGTTGGACATTATGAAAAAAATATAGCATCTAATAAAACTTTCCTCAAGAAAAAATTCTCAATATTAGTGCAGGATATAGTGTAAATGTTAAAGTTTTCTGGGACGTCCTGTGCAACCTGAGCGAATCTGAATATTTGCAAGAGTAAGATAGAGTGAAACGAAAGTAAGAAAGAGAGAGAGGAAGTATATCGTCGTTTTCACCGACCTGCCCGTTAAGTCGTTTCCGCTCGTCGGTGAACACACGCAGGAATAGTAATTCGAGACAGGCCCTGCGTCGTGTCCTTTCACCTCCCGCGTTTGCCCTCCTCCCTCTCCTCCTTCTTCCCGCGACTGGTAAAGTTGTCTCGAGTCATGTATGATTGTCTTGTCTGCTTGTCGCTGTCGATCCACGATTGCGTTGAATTCGAATGAAAGGGCGCTCTTTTAGAGGAAGCTTATTTTTCAGATGTCGACCAAAAATCTGAACGGACTTTTTCACGAATCTCGATCGTTGCACGTTAAACACGGTTATTTTGTTCTCAAGGAAATAATTTCATACAAAAAAAAACTGTAGACTCAATTGAATGATACTTAATAAAATGATTTATAAATGATTAATAATTCACGATCTCATGTATGATATTTATTGAAAAACGGATGCAAATGATTTAAAAAAAAAAACATTTATTAATCACCTTCTCAGCCTCTCTATAATGTTGCATTCTATTTTTTTTAATATAATGCAAAATTATCCGATGTTGAACTGTTATTAGACGACGATATTCCATTACGATAAACTTACATGGTATCATATAGTAACCACAGAATATTCTGCAAAATAACAGTTATATTGCTGGCATTGGCCGCGAGATGAGCGCCGCGACATCATTTTCTCTTCCTGCTCGTTTAGCTGCAAACTTTTACCGAATACGCGTAATCGCATTTTCCTCGGTTACGGTCGATCCAAGCCGCGAGAGAGGAGCACATCCGTTCGTTGAATGTAATTTCTCTCGTTCTTGCTTCTCTTCTCTTCCCGACATTCCACGACGCACACGCCGCGAGTGGTTCGCGTTACGTGACACGTGTCCGACGAACGGAGGCGCATAATGCACGTGTCGCACGCATGATGCGTGGCGGCTGCACCGATCGTCTCGTACCGGCGGACACAACTGTACTTTCTCTTTTCTTGTCGATGATTGCATCGGAGATGATGCGGCAGACCGGCATGAAATCCTTGAATTGTACCATTACGCGATTACTTTTTTCCTCACAAAGATAGCATATGTGATATGTTAATTTTATGATGTAGCAGTTTATTAATGGGAGAAAGTCATACGAAATGTATATTAGTCTTAAAATAAACCCTCTAGAAGAATCTAAAGATCTAAAATATTTAAATTAAGACATATTGAAATATAAGTCACATGGCAAGAAAAAATGTGACACAAAAAGACAGATGTATATATAGAATTTATTTTAAAAATTCTCTAAAGTTATTTTTTTTTGTATTTTATATATGCTTTTTAACACAAATTTAAACTAAATTTTTTTTAAGATACAAACAAATTTTTTTAAGTTACAAAAAATAAGCTTGTTTTTTTTCCAGAAATAAACCATAAATATATATATATATATATATATATATATATATATATTTATGTTATATAGTATATGAAATATACAGAAATACATCTTATATATACATTATCTTATATATATGTTTATTCGTATATACTATTATCTCAAAGACGTTTAACATAAAGCAATAAAAAAAGGTTTAAATTCGACTCACTCAAAATATGAAAATATTTGGCATATCTTCTCTTATCGTTGAAAATATATACGAATAAAATAACTTTTATCACAATGAAAACATTCGCTTACGTCTCGGAGACTCAAGAAACGTAAACATTATTTATTTAGAACGAATCAACCATACAAGGTTACCGATCGCTAGAATGGGTGGGGGACTTTGATGCGTAAAACGGCTTATTGTTAAATCAGTTGGTTATCAACTTTCGACTAATACGAAACTTAGTAGAGGCTGAAACTAGTATCACTGCAATCAAGAATAATACTATGAAAGGTATTGCATTATATATATATTATAGCACACATAAATATTTGTGTTTAACATATCATCATTTTATTCTATTAAATTTTTGACAAGGAAGATTAATTCCAAATTTACCGTTAAAATTGGATAAAAGAAGCGTAAGGAATTTTTTTACAGTAAATAAGCAACTCATTTGCGGTTCTCTAATAGCCGTCTTAACGATACAGTTGAATAGTTGCTAAAACATTCTAGTAATCAATTGAAATTGTTTCCGTATTCATTGAAATTATTATTGGATACTTTAGTGCGCCTCTTTCCGCGGTCATCTATAGTAGAGAGAAGCTATAGTTATCTATTATCCCGGAATTACCTTACATATAACTGGTACAGCGCATCTGATAGCCATGCACGTTATATACATATATAGATTGACAATAGCCACGCTCAGAGTAACTCGATACGTAGTTTCTAGAGACACGACTTTTTCTTACGTGGCTCAAGTTTGTTCGCGTCGCTTCGGAATATCAAATCGACTCGAGGAGACTTTGTTATCCCGTAATTCATTTTATATCTCTTTGTATATCCGACCGGCGGGAGATAAATATCTCGGGACGAAAGTATAAATAGTGTCGTTTAAAATGCAAATTTGAAGAAACGCGATTATCAAGCCGCGAATTGAATCTGGCGGATATTCGGCGAGAGTAAATCTCATCTCGACGCCGACGAATAATCCTGAGGTCAATCCGCTAAGGCTTTCCGCGAAGTTTATTAGGAGTGATAGAAGATGGAGAAGGGGGAGGGAACTCTCGCGCAGATCTTCCTTCGCGAATTCGGTTGTGCAGGCGCGTGCCTATATATCCAAAGTTCTTCACGAAAGCACTCGAATTAGACCGGCACGCTTGCATTGCAAACTCTACTACGAGATACTCTTCACAATGAGACGGCTTAGAGGGCAACTGATCCTACGGCTTAAAATGGAGTATCCCCTCGCGATACCGATGCTCGTCCTTATCAAATACTCGCATTCCAGAATGTACATATCCCGTAAAGCCTTTTCGCCTTTGCGAAAGACTGACTGACCTTTTTGACGGGCGTGAAATTTTGGTGCACATTTATCTCTTTATTTAGAATGCATTTCTCTCTTCATTTACATAAAAATAAAAATTATCGCAATAACACTGTAGATGAAAGAGATATTTCATTTTGCAGCTTGAATTAAAGTTGTCTAAAAATTTAAATCTCTGTTGCGCTATATTTCACAAAATTTTATCTCAAATTAATCTCGAAATATTTTTTTATTTCTATGTTTTTATACAATATTTTTTTAAAATACATCACTCATATCCTACTACGTATCGATCTGCAGCGAGATAATCGCAATTCGTACAAGTGCCTCTGTCGACACGTTCGATGACGGGATAGAAGATCGATGAGAGGCGAGGAAATAGAACCATGAGGAGAAGTGGGGAGAAGGAAAAAAAGACGGATAAAAAGATCGGATAGATTTTACAGCGCACAGTTTTCACCTTTGAGATTCCACCCGGTATCAGAATGGATGGATAGGTGGGCGTGTTGCATCCATATCGGCTGGAGCGCTTTAGCCTAGAAATTCAAGGATCTTGTTGGGGCGGCAACGCGGCCAGCTGGGCTCGATATTCGGACAAATATCGCGAAATGGATGAAAACGCAGAGGGGGGGCGAAATAACGACAGAGAGAAAAAGAGAAGGAGCACGAAATGGCACGATGAGGGGAACGCAGGAAGAAAGGAAGGAAGAACGGGCGAGTGCCATAGCTGAAGAAGGAAAAAGCACAAGAGATACAAAGAATGCGAGGTGAAAAGAAGAAAGAGGAATGGATGAAGAAGAGAGGAATGCGCTGAGCGCGTAGAAGAGAGGCGAGAAGAGCAGGAACGGATCGACGAAACGAAGAGGCAGAGAAGAGACTCGAGGGTTGGTAGCAGCCCAGACCCGGTCGATACGACTACTATCATCAACATCACAGTCGCCACCTCTACCACGACACGATACAGGACACGACGCGCAACCTGGTCCCCTAACGTGTATGCACCCGATACGCAATGAGATCTTTTCGTTTCTTTTTTCCGACCCTCTGTGCCTGCCTCCCTATCTCCCTCGCCCTTCGCCTCCCGATATTTTTTTCACCCCTCGCAATGCGCTCTCAACGATCCGCCATTTTGAGAGGTGGCTTGCTCCCATTTCCCTTCGACTTCCTCACAATAACTTCGACGCACTTGTTGTCTTTATCAAGTTCAGCTCAGTCTGAATACAGTATTAATTTTGCGTCATATTGCGTTATATAATATTTACGGCGTGTATTTATTATTATATTTACGAGAGATATGATACGATTGCATGGTAAAGTTAAAAGGATTACACGTTATAAAAGTAGATAAAAATATAAAAAGAGGGAGGAACTTTTAATACATTTTCTTTAAAAATTAAATTTATTAATTTTAATTTATTAATTTATCTAGAAAAAAAGAAGAAAATATATTATTATGATAGATGTATATAATACACAAATTACGATGATTGCATACTTTAAATTGCATTTTATTTCTCATTGCAGTTGTTCTCTTGGACACGACGACGGAGGAGAAACTGGACTGGACGAGATATCCGTTCGGGCCTCAAGCTAGCACTCCTGGCGTAAGTACATTGAATTTTTTATTGCTCATTAATACATAGAAGAGGCACCAAGATTCCTTCCTGTATTTACCGAAACATTTTTACTTTTTTCAATATGAAGAAGGGAGAAACTATTTCGTTGAGATATTCTCGATCTTTCAAACGATGAAAATATCAAGAATTCAAAAGTAAGTCGGGATTCGCGCCCTTCTTCGACGTAAGGATGAAACAATTTCTTAAATATCGCGAATTTTCTTGGAAATATTCGACGTGCCGGCAGCAACACGGGAAAATTCCCGTCGACGCAAGAATTTCGCTTGCTCGCGCGCGCGCGGGGCATCCTTTTCCACGAGGCCAAAGAAAAATATTAAAAATGTCTCATAAATTAATACTCCCTCGCGTAAAGTGCGTTCGCTGTTCAAGAATGGCCTTCGAAGCTCCTTCTCCTCCGGCGATTACAACAAAGGGAAGAAAGAATGGCCCTAAACGGGAAAAAAATTCCAAGACTTCTCGATATTTTCTTCTCCCGGTTGCTTTTTTTTTTCCTCGCGGAGGAGAAATCTTTTTTGATTCAACCGGCCAGGTTCCGGGGGTACCAAAAGCACTTTATAGTCTCGGTGCGCGCATACATGGGCCCCCGCTGGTCGATGCGTTCTCTCGGCGCCATGTTTGTTTTTCAGTTGTTAAGCGCGCAGCGGGTCTCCAGACAGGTTTAAATCAGCCTCCACTTCTCTCTCTCCCTCTCCTTCTCTCTCTCTCTCTCTTTCTCATCTTCTACATTCCTTCTCTCTTCCTCTCTCTGCCGATTCTTTTCCTCCCGGCATCTCCCGCCTCCTTCCCACCATCCGTTCCTCCTGCGCGCTTCTCGAGCGAACCGCATATACACTGTTCGGTCCATGAGTCAGTCCGACCGGGTAACAAATTGCTTTTTGTTTGAACGGACAAATTAGTGATACGGCCACGCCGGCTCGGCAGAGATGCCGGTCGAAAGAGGGAGAAAGGGGGACACACGCGGTGTTTATTTAAATATCGTAGGCACCGAGAGTGCAGTTTCGCGCAAAGGGGACATCCTCCTCCTTGACCCCACGTGGGTGTCGGTCGAATATCTCGCGTTCGCCTCGATCACGAAGATAAACTGACGGCTTCGATCTTTTTGGCAACTCGTTGGATCCCTCGAAACTCATCGTTATTTTCATTATACTTTTATTACCTTTCTTCTTTATTTAACGTTTATTTTTATTTAATACATTAGTAGTATTTATACCTAATTATATGTATTATATAACACATATATAATTAGGTATAAACACTAGTAGTGTATTAAGTAGCATATTAAAAAGCAGTCTTTTTGGGAAAGATGTAAAAAATTCTCAATTATCAATATAATTATCTTGATTACAAGATGTCAAAAATCTTTCATATAGTTATAATGATACGTAGTTAGTATAAAATTTTATTTTTTTAAATTATATATTAAAAATTAATTATTAAAAATCTTTTATGAAACAATCGAGCACAAAGGAAATAGCACGTGTTGCGTGCATTGCGTACTCGTCCTCCTTTTTTTATGCTCCTTTTTCTCGAAGAGTCGATCGTTAGTGTCGCGGCGCTAATCGGCCACCGTAACGCTCTGTTTGAAAAGGTTCTTTGAGGCTCCTGTTGATTTTTCTGGGTGCTAAACGTTCAACGCGCGCCTCCCTCCGAACCGAAGAGGGATGGATACGAGCCGACGAACCATACACGGGAGTCTGACTTTTTTTGATTTTTTTTTTATTTCTGGAATGACCCGAAAAAGAGCGTTCTCGCTGCATGCCTCGGTCCCCTGAACCATACGAGTTCACTTTGCACCTCCCATTCCATCTAGTCCGTTGGAAGTGCTATGTCCAAATACGCGTCCTCGTTCTCTCTTTCTCTTTCTTTGTCCCTCTTTCGAGGATTCTCAAACGCACGTGCTCCTCGTAAAAAAAACGACCGCGATATTAGTTACACCTACGAGTCTTTAAAGTTCCTCTCGAAAGCCAAAGGTCGTCTGTTCCCCGCCGCATTTTTAACGCTAACATAAGTGTTACCGTCCGTACAATTCCATGTGATCGCCTATTGACATTGTGAACGTCTTGGTCAAATTGGACAAATAAAACTCAAGCAGACTCAAGCGCAGACAACTATCACATTTAGCGTTAGAATACGAGACAAAGTTTCACATGGAATATCATTTTTTTTTTCTCCACTACTTTTATCGACAATTTCATATATTTAATCGGCACAAAAATTCGTTTGAAATTCCACCTCTCGTGAATCATTTTTCGTGAATCCACTGGCAACAAAAATTGAATAAATTTTCAGTTGCTCGGATCGAGAAATTCACACGTCTTTTGACGTCCTTGCCGTACGAAGAATGCGTCAAAGTACGCTTGAGCCAAAGTGGAGAATCCTCTTAATTAGACTAGTTCAGGTTGATCCGCTTTCCCGGGTCGACCCTTTTCGAAGGAAGTTGAGCTATCCGAAAGCAAGATCGATAAAAACGAGAGTGTTTTCACGGCTCGTTCTTGCCCCACGACCTAATCAGTTATCTTGGACAGGGATTAGCGTGCCTTCTCACGCACACCATTAGCTTCGATCATATATGACGGGAAATTTATTATCGAGATTGAATAATTTATCTGGGAAGACGTAGGTCTAATTAGCCGAAAGTTACTATATTAATAAATAGTAGGGTGATATTTTTGCAAACAGAGAAGATTGTAAAGATACTTCTAATTAAACATACAAGCTACTTAGGAAAAAACGATGATGTTCTTTAATTTCATTTTCAATTCTCGTTCCACTAATGTATCGTTTAATAAATATTCAAATATTTCATAATTCTTAATTAAGCGAGAGAGGAAAAAGGACGGAGGGTTACGAGCTCATCTATATCTTAATTAAAAAAACATAATCATGTATAATAGCGGTACTTTGTGGATGCTCTTACGTCATTTTAATCACTCTTCTCAGTTGGCATTAATATCCCACGATAAATACGCCGTGGTCTTTAATGCTGATAGCAGGGCGGTTATTAATATACAAGCAAACGGAATTAGCTCGGAAGTATTTGAACAAGCCAGCGGTGGGGGGGATATGGCAGGGCGAGTGTGGATCCGGAGAGTGAAAAGATACTTTGATGCTAGCGCTGGAGGCGAGGGTCAAAACTCGCATAAAGGATCGAAGATACACTATGCGTTCTCTCTCTCTTTCTCCTTCCGCTCGTTGTATTACATATTCTATCTTGTGCCCTCGACCTTAGTGCGATGACTTTCGATGAAAGATGCGAGAAAACGTCACTGGAATTAATTAAGCGTCCCTTTGGCCTGTAGCTTTGAATTGATTTAAATTTCGTTTCAGATTCTTAACTTAACGTTTAATAAGAATCAACGAGAGAATTAGAATTTTGATATTTGAAAACTATACGTGAAACGTTCTACTCTTTTTCTCCATTACTTCTATTAATTTCCAAAAAATACATGAAACTCGAATTTATCTCATCGAGATATATCAGTAAATGGGATCTTAAAAATAGAGAAAGGGAGGAATTCGAAAACTTTCTTTAGAAATTCCTAGCTACTTGAGAAAGAGGATGGTGTTCTTTGATTTCATTCTCGCTTCATTTCAAGCTAATTTTCATACTTAAGAAGTCATAATCCGATCATGACCGTCGAAATGAAGAAGTTTCGTTCGCCCTTTAGAAACATGGACTTGCATTTGCGCTAAAGTTCGATGAAGCCAAACGATTCGCGAGAGGAGAAACACTCTCCGGTCCAGTTATTTTCGCAACGAACGACACATTTCGGATATCCCGGGTATTTTCGCGAAGGGATGAAATCGTCCAGTCGGATTTTCTCCAATAACGACTCTGAAATCGGATAGATTTTCCTCTCGCGTTTCGTCGAATTTATTCTATGAATAGGGAAAACGTCGGGATACGATGCGATCGCGCGCGCTTAATGGGAAGGCGAGAAACACACAGGGGCCATTGGTCCATTGAGAGTAACGGGGTCCCTTCCTTCCACGAGCGTCCATCGATAGTTGGAAGGCGAATGCTACATAGTGATTCTCTGCTGGGAGATCTCGCTGTCCTTTCCCGTAAAAATTTATCGTCATCCTACTGAGAGTCGAGCTCCATTTCCTAACGCCACGATCGATTGTAAGGAAGGGAGGGGGAGGGAGAGGAGTGAGGACTGACGTTTAGAAAGTCTAATAAACAATGACGGGACAATTTTAGGGAAATAATGGTATGTGTGTGTAATACTTTTATGCTTTCGTGTCTCGTTAAAAGTAAATTATTGAATGCCCGATGCACGGGCCCGAGGGCGTGTACAAGTATCCGGATTTCCGAGGATATTGAGGAAAAATCTAGTAATAGGTTTCAAATAGATGCACCGGGAGATTTATTTTCAAGAAAATAAAAAGAGCCGAGATAGTATTAATTTCGGGCTTAATTCCCGACGATTTTTCGATTCTTAATCGGTTATATATAACTCGGAAATCTATTTGAAATTAATGACTATGTCTAAAATATCACCTAGGATTTTGAATGTTTATTGAATTGTACGCAGGTCGTTATTTATACGTATAATACTATATGTAATCATAAAACTTGTAATTACAAATACGTGATATATATGTATGAATAATGATTTTTTTTTTATATAATGCGAGTCAGTAAATCTCGCAATTGTATCTTCACGAAACAACAATGAAATCGCAACAAAGATTGATCCTCAAATCCTTTTATGAACGGCTTTTTGAAAAAAATGTCCTCCCGCCATTCGCTTTCGTTGAATGCTTATGGTAGCCAAGTTCATCTTACGACTGATGAAACATGGCTGATCGCGGTCGCAGTTCCGACGAAAAGACCTGCTTGCCTCGGTTCGCACGTGGCACTCAGACTTCTATCTGACCGTTTCATCTTGCGCTTCCTTCATCTTCATCTATCCTCGTCTTTCACCCCTTCTCGTCTCACTCCCCAGTAGCCTTCTCTCCCT